GGGTCGAGTGCCCCTGAGTTCAATCCCTGGTACCAAAAAAAAAAAAAAAAAAGGAGGGGGGTGGATACCTACCCAGTGCGTATCTACCCCATTTGGCCTGCCTTCTACCCTCCCTGAGTTCATCTTTGAAAAGAGGGTGCTGGGTGCTGGAAGTTCCTTTACATGATCATCAGCTGTCACCAGCCAGATCCCAAACGGCCACCAAAATGACCTCTTGAAGACCTCAAACCTCCTGACAATCCAATTTCCATACTAAGTGACACACAGACCAGCCACCATGACAAGATGGGCCAGACTAYGACAGGAGCAAGAAGAGTCCGGGAAATCCCCACCTGTCCCAAGAAAAGTCATGAAGGTTCCCCTCCTTCGCCAGCCTCTGCTCCCCCCGTTCTCTTTACCCTTTACCCACGACACCCCCACCCTGGCAGGTTGGGAAGTCTTCCGGGGGCTGGGCCCCCCTTCTCCAGGCTTTGGGTGCTGAAGACTTTGGGCCCAGCTCCAATTTCATTTTTGGCTTCAGGACACGGCGTAAAAAGAGATCTTGCATTTGGGGGTCTGCCCCCCCCAGCAAGGGGGACCGACCAGTTGCTGGTGACATTGTGTGAGCAGAGCAGGAAGAGGTGGGTTGCTGCGGTTTCTTCTAGGTCATCTGAGGGAGGAGACTCTTTGGGGGGCTGGAGGACCGAAGGTGAGCTGGAGACCCTCACCCTATCAGTCAGGGGAGGCCCTGGTCACTGCTCTGTGTCCTTTATTTCACTCCCCTGGGTCCTCCCTCCCTCCCGTGCACTCCCAGACTCCAAGGCCAGGCTCCGTCTCCCGCTGTGGTCCTTCGCCTTTGGTGTTTGGGGACATGGTCCTTCTTTGCGTCAGTTCGTCTCCCACTGTAATCCCACCCGCCGGAGAGCGTCCAGAGAGCCCTGGGCATTTCTGGTCAGCCGATGGCATCCTCTTCATCCTTTCCAGAGTCATTGAAAGATTCCATTCATCACTTTAGGCCGTGTCCAAGAAACGTGTGTGCAGAAACAGAAAACGAGTCACTCATCCACCTTCCTGAACAAGAGTTTCTGGGGCCTTCTGCACATGGTTCCACATGGGGAAGAAAATCCAGTCACTCTTTGGAGGCTCCGTCTGTTGCATCCCTGAGCCTCCCCGGGAAGGGACTCCGATGACKCTTGTGTGCACATCTCCCTTCCAGCCACCGGGAGACGCTGTGCCCTCGTCGGTGCACGGCTCCTGAATGGGGCAGTGCCACACCTGCAGGAAGTCCCAGAGCTGGGCCAGCAGTGGGGCCGCTGGCTACCAGCCCCCGCCAGTCCAGGTTCATGGTGGTGGCTCTGTTCACAGCCTCCGCTCTGAGGCCCAGTGTTCTTTAAACCCCTTCCAGATCCAGGGGACCATGTGAGACGCAGCGTCTGGACGGCCCTGGAGCAGGGGCCTGAGGCCTGGAGAGATGGGGGACGAGGGCCACTCACTGTCCTTCTCGCCTCCAACGGCCCGAGGACCTAGAGCCTAGACATGACTCCGCATGGTCACGTCTCCCTCCTGCATACGATGACACTCTGCATCTGTCACTCCTCCTGGGGACACTTGAGCTCCTCACCAAAGCCTGCAGCAGATGAGACGCCTGCTGACACGTGTCGCGTGCTCTCCCGGGCCCCCCTGGCCACTTCACACATGCTGTCCTTTAAAATCCTAAGGGACCCCATCAAGCGGCTGTGTTTGTGTCCCCTTGTTAAAAATGAGGAAATAGAGGCACAGAAAGGTTCGGGGACTTCCCCAAGGTCACACAGCTCTATCACGTGACAGAAGCAGGATTCAAACCCAGCACTCTGGCTGCAGAGCCCACCATGTGACCAGAATTGACATCGTCCTGCTGAGGGTCTCTCCCAACCTTTCCCAAAGGACACGTGAGGGCTGGCACGTGACCACGCAGTCAGTGGTCCCTCACGCATCATGCCACCCTGCAGCCTTAGAAGACACGCTAGGGTTAGGCTAGGGTTAGGGTTAGGTGCCCGTGAGGACAGGGGACTGTCCCCCAAGACGTAGTACACACTTAAGTCAATGGCCATTTTATGGCTGTGTTCCCAGTACAAAGAACACATGGGTCTGGAAATGAAGGGGTTGAAAGTAGGACTGACCTTCACTGCATTACTCCGAGTGACCCACTTGGGAGAATCTGTGCATCTTCTAGGCTCTGGGAGTCTAGAGGCCTTGGCTCCCAGGGAGGAAATCTGGTATCTTCCAGAGGATACCACAAGAGTCTCTTTAGAACCTGGGTGTGGAGGCACATGCCTGTAATCTCTGTGACTTGGGAGGCTGAGGAAGGAGGATTTCAAGTTCAAGGCCAGCCTCAACAACTAAATGAGACCCTGCCTCAAAATTAAAAAATGAAAAAGGACCAGGGTAGAGTGCCCCTGGGTTCAATCTCCAGCACCCCCCCACACACACACACACACAAAGTCCTTAGACTTTAAGCAACAGCGCCATCCAGTGACCTTGGGCTCCTTTTGTCAAGATATGAGCAGGCAAGGAAAAGGGTCGCCATTCACTAGCCAGAGAAAGTAATCCCAACCAGGCACCGAGGTGATGAGGCTGGACATTTCCCTGCTCAGTTTTGATTGACTGATTGATTGATTTTTGGGTACTAGGAATTGAACCCACGGGTGCTTAACCACTGAGCCACATCCCAGCCCTTTGTATTTTTTATTTAGAGACAGGGTCTCACTGAGTTGCTTAGGGCCTTGCTAAATTGCTGAGGCTGGTCTTGAACTCACCATCCTCCTGCCTCAGCCTCCTGAGAGGCTGGGATTACGGCATGTACCACCCTGCTCAGCTCCGTGCGTGGTTTTGTTGCTAAATGAACAAGTGCAACAGTTATGGCCCGAGAAGAGCATGCGGACCAGGGACTCAGACCCCTCAGGCACAGAGCCTCAGTCACCCYGCCAGGCAAACCATCACGATCAGTGAAGGTATGGCCAAAGCTGAGGGCAGTCTAGACTGGGTGGCAGAGGAGGGGGCAAAATGGGCATCTCGGCAGCTACAAGACCAGCAGCAAGAGCAGGGCCTGTAGTTTATCCCACTAATCATCCTATGTCAATCTCCGCAGGAAGAGAGAGCAGCCAGACCGCGGAGAGATGATGAGCTTTTGCTACAGAACAGGTTGATCCAAGAGGTGCAAGGGGTGGCCGGAGGTGGATGCCGTGCTGTGCCACACCAGGTTTCATTCCTTCAGGAAGAAAGTGGAACTACAGAATTCCTCACTCCCCCTTCATCCTGTCTCCCCTGCTAGATCAGGAGTCCTGAAGTGCCTCCCCTGCTCAAGAACACTCAGTGGCTCCCCGCTGCCCACAGTCAATCCCTTTGGTACAGCATTCAGGGCGTTTAGCAAGCCTTCCCTGGCCTACCTGTCTGACTTCAGCTCTCAATTCCCACAGCTCTCATCCCTGCAGCTAACAAAAACTGGGCCAGTAGCCTTCCCTAGTCACAGTTATGGCTTCACGTTCTCATGTAGTTCCCTTCACATAAAACATTCTACACCTTCCCTAAGTCCCCCTTTGAGTGTCCAGTCCTTTACATCCTTCAGAGCAAGGCAGCAAGCGGAATGGTCAGCGTCTAAACTCTAGAGTTACAAGACCTGGGTTCACACTCTAGCCACTTTGTGGCTGTGCTATCTAAACCAAGTTCCTTGACCTCTCTGTGCCTTTTTTACTAAGAGAACTTAGTTCTCTCAGTTACTAAGAGAACTTACCTTTTAGGGAAAATTGAGGGATTTAAAGAGGTAATCTGGGCAAATTGTTTAAAACAGCACCTGCCACAGAGTAAACATGAAATACTGGATAATTGTGGGGTATTTTTTTGGAGGGGACAGGGGACAGGGGTGGGTGTCCAATATACTTTTTTCTATAATGCGCCACATAGTAAACAGCTCAGCTTTTGAAACGATTTGGTTCTGTTGCTGGGGCACACAGACAGTAGGTCAATGAGGAGTGTGGTGTGTTCCAATAAGACTTTATGGGTGGCGCTGGTCAGTAGGTCTGCCATAGTTGCTAAGCCCTGTCTGGCCCCTTCCCTCACTCCCCAGGAGAGAGCAGCCTCTTCCAACAACCCTGAGTGCTCTCAGTACCTTAACCTCTAAGAGCAAGCACCAGACAGTCCCCAGCGTGGCTCCCTGCCCCATCGTGAGGAGGGCAGAGGGGGCAGGAGGCCACACCCGTGGTAGTGACCAGCTTGGGTGCCGCAGGCAGACCACCCGGGTTCTTAGTGAGAGCTGGGCAAGGGATTCACCCTCTGAGTCTCAGATGGCTATAAAGCGAYAGCACGTACCCTCTGGGCACCCCTGTGTCAACTCTAATGTCCAGATAATGCCAAATCTGTTCTTTTTATTATGATGTCACTTTTGTGACCTTCCAGCTGTTGTGTGGTTGCTGTCAATCATCACAATGATGGTATTCTATTGCTGTATCAGTAGCCCTGCTGTGGCCATCTCTTCCACCCCCAAGGCCATGACCACACCTATAGCTGTCCCTTGGATTCTGTGGGGAATGGTTTTAACACATACCTGTGTGTGTATGAGTGTGTGTGTGAGTGTGAGTGTGTTACCAGGGACTGAACCCAGGGGCATTTCACCGCTGGTCTATATCACCAGCCCTTTTGATCTTCTAACTTGAGACAAGGTTGCACCAAGTTGCCCAGGCTGGCCTTGAACCTGTGATCCTCCTGCCTCAGCCTCCCAAGTGGCTGGGTTTCCAGGTGGGCACCTCCACGCCCGGTCATCTCCAGATGACTTACGACACCCAGTACAAGGTAGATGTGATGGCAATGGCTATGATGCTCTGCTGTTTAGGTGACAATAACAAGGAGAAAGTCTGTCCATGTTCAGTATATAGATGCGATTTTTTTTTTCAAATGTTCTTTAATGCACGATGCAGAACCCGTGGATAGGGAGAGTGGACCAGTTGACTGGTGACCCAGCTGGATGGTGGAGCTGGGTATTTACTTACGACTGGGGGACCCCTCCGATYCCAAAGCCCACCAGGCCTCGGAGCACCAGGATCCAGCTATACACAGGCGCAAAAGCACTGAGGATGCCGTAGTAGAGGGTCCAGAGCACGCTGATCTTCAGCCCCTGTGGAGAAGGAAGACGCCAGGTCACAAGGGCTTCTCAGCATGCCCAGGTGGCCTGGGCCACAGGAGCTCTGGCTGGAGCTCAGAGGTAAGCACTTGCCTAGCACAGGTGAGGCCCTGGGTTGGATCCCAAGGACCACACACACACTCAAATAATAATAGTTGGGCTTGGTGGTGCACACCTGTCATCCCAGTGGCTGGGGAGGCTGAGGCAGGAGGATCATGAGTTCAAAGCCAGCCTCAGCAACAGCAAGGTGCTAAGCAATTCAGTGAGACCCTGTTTCTAAATAAAATGCAAAATAGGGCTGGGGATGGGGCTCAGTGGTCGAGTGCCCCTGAGTTCAATCCCTGGTACCCCCCTCAAATAATATTAATCAAGCTCCCAATAAGGGAAGGCAGTGTAGCTCAGTGGTAGAGCAAGGCGTAACTTCTGTGAGTCCCTGGCTTCCATCCCCAGCACCCATCCCCCAGAAAGAGCTGTAAATAGGATCTCAATGAAGAATCATCACCCACATTGGCTAAGGGGTGCCTGGGGTTCTCTGTAACGGGTGACACCAATCCTTAAGGGCATAGTGAGAAAACTGTGGCCATTCTTGATTGTCCCATTGATTAATATTTTATGCCAATCATGGCCCAAGGGTGTCAGCAACTCCATAAGGCAGGAGACAGGACAGAACCATCCTCTGTGTCACAGCAATGCAGAGGTCCTGCCCACCCCAACTGGCACACAGGTGAGACTGTTAACGATGATCTGCACCTGGACCTTCCCACGGAGTCACGTAGGGACAGGGCTGGGGGGACACACAGCTCACACACTGGCTTTTCTAAGAAGGAAATTCCAAGTAGAGCAAAGGAAGTTTTACTTTCTTTTTTCCACAACAATTTGACAACATCATTATTTTCAGAAAACCATGTTGTGGTGATGACACTAGGTAAGATATTTGCATCACGAAAGGATGGCTCCGGTATTAAYCTGCACCCACCAGGGGTTCTTTATGAACAGAGCGAAGTGCACTTTACTGCACAAAGCCAAAGAGGATAAGAAAAAGCTTAGAACACGTTAGGGTAAATCCAAACTTACTTATAATTAGGGGCAAATATTGACCAGTTCCTTGTACCGTCTCGGTCAAGCTCTATGTGAACACTTGCATGTTGAAAATACATCTTATTTTATGTAATGACCTTTAAATTTTTTTTCCTTACTTGCAGCATTAGAACTTGTCATTTTATTAGAGTTTGTGAACGATTGGATTATTTTATCTCTGAATCATTATCTGGATTGTTAAGAAGGCATTTACCATAGATTTAATCTGGAATGTCCTCCAAGGGTTGGCGTGTGAAAGGATGGTCCTAGGTTGGAGGTTGTGGAACCTTTAAGAGGTGGGGCTTAGAAGGAGGTGGGGCTTAGCAGGAGGTGGGGCTTAGCAGGGGTGGGGCTTTGTGGGAGGTGGGGCTTGGTAGAAGGTGGGCTTAGCAGGAGGTGGGGCTTAGCAGGGGTGGGGCTTAGCAGGAGGTGGAGTTTGGCAGGGGTGGGGCTTAGTGGGAGAGGGGCTTAGTGAGAGGTGGGGCTTAGCAGGGGTGGGGCTTGGCAGGGGTGGGGCTTTGTGGGAGGTGGGGCTTGGTAGAAGGTGGGCTTAGCAGGAGGTGGGGCTTAGCAGGGGTGGGGCTTAGCAGGAGGTGGGGTTTGGCAGGGGTGGGGCTTAGTGGGAGAGGGGCTTAGTGAGAGGTGGGGCTTAGCAGGGGTGGGGCTTGGCAGGGGTGGGGCTTTGTGGGAGGTGGGGCTTGGTAGAAGGTGGGCTTAGCGGGAGGTTTAAAATCATTGGGGGTGTGGGCGGGAAGGGGCTGTGGAAGCCTGGTCTCTTCCTCTTCCCCTCTCTYTCTTTCTGCTTCTCTGCCATGAGGTGACCAGCTCTGCTCCACCAAATGCTCCCCATCATGATGGGCTGCCTCACCACAGGCCTAAAAGCGAGGGGACAAACTGACTGGGCACCAAAACCCCTAAACTGTAAGCCGCAACAAGACTTTTCTCCTTTTTTTTCTTTTTTTTTTGGTCGGGGTTACTGGGGATTGAACTCGACCACTGAGCCCCATCCCCAGCCCTATTTTGTATCCTATTTAGAGACAGAGTCTCCCTGACTTACTTAGGGCCTCATTGTTGCTGAGGCTGGCTTTGAACTCRTGATCCTCCTGCCTCAGCCTCCTGACCCGCTGGGAATTACAGGCGTGTGTCATCTGGCCTGGCAACCTTTTCTCTTTATAAGCTGATTTATCTCAATTATTTGTTGCAATAAAGAAAAGCTGACTAGGGGCTGGGGTTGTGGCTCTGCGGTAGAGCACTGGCCTGCACATGCGAAGCCCTGGGTTCAATCYTCAGCACCACATAAAAAATAAAATAAAGTTATTGTGTCCAACTACAACTAAAAAAAAAGGCAGACTAACACAACATGATTAAAAACATTCGGGGCCTTTTAAGCAGCAGGGCACTGTGTCCGTGCAGGCTGAGAACCACAGCGGGATGCAAGGCTTGAGGACGAACATGGTGCCGATTCCAGGAGCATTAATTACTCTGAGAGAGTGAAAAAAATTAATGGTGACTGTAATTTAAGATACTATCTTTTTTTTTTAAGAGAGAGAGAGAGAATTTTTTAATACTTATTTTTAGTTCTCGGTGGACACAACATCTTTGTTGGTATGTGGTGCTGAGGATCGAACCTGGGCCGCCCGCATGCCAGGCGAGCGCRCTACAGCTTCAGCCATGTTCCCAGCTCCTAAGATACTATCTTTATGTCACTGTCACCATCATACTTGAGGGAGTAGGATGCAGACTTTATGTGGCTCTTAAACCTGCCATTTGAGATCCAGAATGGATCTCTGCCACATCCTTCCCAGGACACCAAGGTGGAGCTCACTTCTGGAGAAAAGTGGTGTAAATCACGCTGATTCTGCTCTATTCTTTTTCTTTTCTTTTTTAATAAATTCTATTCTTTTTAAAATTTTTTAATATTTATTTTTACTAAAAATAAATATTGCAGATAATAAATAAATATTGTGTCGGTGGCGGACACAACATCYTTGTTKGTATGTGGTGCTGAGGACCGAACTCGTGCMGCACGCATGCCAGGCGAGCGCRCTACCGCTTGAGCCACATCCCCAGCCCCAATCTGCTCTATTCTTAAACTGAATTTTAAGACACTAAAACGGAAATCTCTGCCTAGAGGTCCTTTAAAAATGGTTATAATGAATAGAAAATTTAAATGATTTTGTATCTCCTTGCAAGGAAGTTGTTTAAATTTTTTTTCAGTACCTAGGACCTTGCACATGCTAGGCCACTCTTGGGTCACCGGGCTACAGCCCCAGCCCCTTATATTTTACTTTATTTGTTTTTTGCAGTGCTGGGGATTGAACCCAGGACCTTGTGCTTTCTAGGCAATTACTTTGCCCCTGAGTTACATCCCTGATTCCTTTTTTTTTTTTTTTTTTTTAGTTGTAGTTGGACACAACACCTTTACACAACACCTTTACACCTTTATTTCACTTGATTATTTATTTATTTTTTTGTACGTGGTGCTGAGGATCGAACCCAGGGTCTCGCAAGTGTGAGGCGAGCGCTCTACCACTGAGCCACAACCCCAGCCCCTCCTGATTCCTTTTTAAAATTTTGTTTTGAGGCAGGATCTTGCTAAACTGCTCAGGCTGAGCCTCAAACTTGCCATTTTTCTTTCCTCATCCTCCCAAGTAACTGGGAAAAAATTCTTTCTTTTTTCTTGGAATCTTCATTCTTCTAAATATGTCAAAAAGAAAGTGTCCAGCAATGCTGACCTGCTGGAATACCTGTTCATCTCTTTCTCCCTCCCTCTCTTTTGAACCCAGAGCCTTGCCCATGCTAGGCACAATTTCTGCCACTCAGTTACACTGGCAGCACCCATCTCTTTTTCAGGGAGAAGGTGGTGGGGTAATGGTGACTGGCTAGAATTCACCAGCACTKCCTGGTTTGCATTATATTTATTTCTGCAGATATTTCTCACTCGGGACTGATTTTCCATTTAAGATTCTCYGTAAAGTTTCCTTGTTTTGGGTACTGAGGATTGAACCCAGGGGCACTGAACCACTGAGCCACATCCTTTG